CCAACCAAAGGAGTGTGTATTCTTTTATTAAAATCACCAACAATCCAGACCTATCCATGCACAGTACTAAGTTTTTTTGGTGAGTGATAAACTCTAAGCTTGTCGGCAAGTAGTGTATGAGAACTACTTCTAAATGACAAGTGCTGTGCCTGCAGTAAATAATAAACTCTGAAGCTATTAGCAGGTAGCGTATGAGAACTATCTTTAAATAATAGCTGCTGTTCTTATGATCCCTTTTCCTGTGTCTCATAGGCTAATCCAGATATTTTTGTTTTTTTTCCAATAAAAGTTTTTAGAAAATTTTGGTCCAAGTGATTATCGGAAAGAGTTGATGAAGAAGGCTACAGTATTATAATAATACAAAAAATAATTTATATATAATCTGCAAATTACTATATTTTTATTAGTTTTACTATTAATTTTATGCAACTATGTATATATATTTTAGTATACAAATAGAAATACTTTCTAATATAATACTTTGTAAAGTTAAACAATATAATATTTATACTACTGTATATAAACTGTTATATAATAATCTAAATAAAAAAAAGTAACAAACTACCAAAATAAAAAAAATTTTAATTTATTAATCTGTTTTGAAAAACTACTAAAATACAGTATTTATTTTAATTAACTAAAATCATAATTACAAAATTCTAAATTATTAAAGATTTATTACTTTATATTTTAATATAATTTTTTATATATAAATTAAAATAATTATTTCATATAAAAATAAGTATAACAGTTAATAAAAAATGTTTCATGCCTAATATTAAAAACCCATTTAACCTGAATTTAAAATCAATTATAATAATTGGTTCCAAAATTTAGTTCTAAACCTTTTAGTAATAATAGCCATAGTACAAAAAAGAAACAAATAAGCAATAAAATTATTTGGCCTAAATTTATTTCTATATTAATTTAAATATTAGCAGATAAAATGTTGATTTACTATTTCATTATAAGTTGTGAATACAATTAAAAAACGTGATTATGTGAGATTGAAATTTTTTTTTGGATGGCCATATTAAAATTATTAACTCGGCCAAGCTTATAAGTTTTTTTTAATTGACTATATAATCACTATGTTCTACTATCTCACCCAACTTTGTGGATAAACATGCCCATAAACCTTCAAATATTCAGAACGAAGAGGAATTTTAATATTTTCACGTCTCAATTTTCCTCCAATGACGAGCAAACCAGTTGCCAATAACCCAATTGATGAAACGATCACCCCATTTCTGATGATCCGAAGTCGTTTCTTAGTTGCTTCTGAAGGTTGCTTATCTCCACTCTTTTTTATTATGGAACCCTTCACGATCCTATACACAACAGGCGCACCACTGCAAATATGGTAAGCACCTAACCCAATCAACATCGTGAATGTTAAATATGTTGGAAAAGGCCATCTCTGGAGGGCGAGTGTAACATAGGATGCATTGATCATCGAGGAATCGCCAAAGTGACGTCTTGGAAGCACACGATAAAAAAAAATATGACTGAAAATAAACGGAATTAGAAGATACCCAGCTAAATGATGAGATGGAAGTAATAACACTATAGCCCTTGATATATACGATCCAGTAATGGTCGTCGTAGTTTTTGTTGTGATCTTACGAATAACCACGCCCTGTTCATTTGTCTCATCAGTTACGATTTTTTCAACCTTTTCGTGGACCTCTCCAGTTAATTTACGTACATCTTGCTTCTTATATTTCCAATATAGTTTGATGCCTCGTTTGATTAACCCTGAGATTATATGCCCCCAAATTGAACCAGCCACAACAATAGGTTCCAGAAAACTATTTTGGTAATACACCCTACCAAGAACGATCGTTTTATTAGTAAGTTCAATACCGCCGATGGTGGCTAAAGCCGTTGCACTCAAGTGAGTAACTAGGAAGGTCGTAAAAACAGCAGCCGTACCAGCCTGAACAAGGGTAAGGTAGCCGTAAATCTTTGACACCGTAACAATTGGAAAAGGGGGAGGATTATTATTGCTGTTGTTAGAAACTGGTTTGGATTGCGACATTGCGTTTTTAAGGAGTTTTTTTTAAAAGTGAATAGTGTAAAATCGAAATTCGTTACTTTTGGTTCTTTTTTAATTTGTGCTTCTATAGAACGTAACTCTTGTTACGATCATACAAAACTCAATGTCGTGACTTGTGTGACCTTTTTGAGTAATTTAAGTTAATTTAGTTAATTCACAGATAAAGTGATTAGTGATAATCTGCTATATCGATATTGTGTCGTGATTACGGTGTACAGTCAGTGTTGGCCTATGACCTAAGTCATAACATATTTTCCATATGACCTCGGTCATATGACTATATGACCTAGGTC